GTGACGTCTGGGATCGTTCCAGTTAGGGGAGATTACGGTAACACCAGTCTCTCGCCAGTGTCTCCAGTAGCTCGTTCTGAACTTACGAATGCTAGCGCTTGGTGTTCCTTACGTACTGTTTTCGTATCAATCTGTAGGGGTGCTTGTGCTTTGAACACTTAAAAAACTTCAAGAGGGGGCGAGGAAGTAGGGGTCTATTGCGGCGCATGTGGGCTAGGGGCGGACTGGACGCCGCGCGCGATCTCTGCTCGTCCGCGCCCTGTGGTGTTAGAGCCTAGGAGTGGGCAGAACTTTGAGAAGATGAAAATTGCTATAGAATCCTGGAGTTCCCTCCTCCCTGCCCGAGGCTTGGTCCCGATTTAGCGAAGAGGAAAGCTTACACGAAAAAATTCGCGAGACCGGGCGCGTCGGCGGCTGGCCTTCGCCCGATGCCACGGCGCCGTCTATACACTTAGGGGGGGGTTAGCATATGTCACTGCAGCTTTTCATCGGCGAACTAGGTGTGAAATTAACATCTCCACCTTTTCATACACTGTCATAGTGACTGCGTCACCCCCTCGACTGGCCTACGTCCCCCTGGCTTCGGATTATTGCCTAGCTTTCTTGAAAAACGGCACCATGGATGCCCCCAACTGCGAATAGCCCGAAAAAGTAGCTGACATCAGTAGCTGCGACTAGCTTAGAGAGGGGCGGAAGTTCCTGAGAAAGCGAAGAGTGCTCACGAACTTCCGACGCTCAAGTCTCAAACTTTATATATATATGTTCGAGGTTTTAAACGTTGAGTTGAGCGCTCGAAACGATTCCCTCCCTTAGACTCGGGGGTGTCTAAGTATACAAACGAAGTCATGCGAACTGATCGTGTTTCATGACCGTGACATTTTTTCTCAAAAGATTATGCCATTCAAAGTCTAATGAATGAGTGGCGTTTCACTGCATCACTTTGAAAATTATAGTCTTTTGAGACGTCTTCGAAGCGCACGCATTGACGTCCTGTGACTTGGCAAAGTTCGATGGCTTGAAGAAAATAGGAGAAGGGACATTGGTGTTGTGTTCAAAGGGGTTCATAAGCGATCAGGAAAACAAGTTGCGCTGAAGAAAATAAGCCTTGAACGGTAGTTTTAGCTATTTTTGTTTTTTTTTCTAATAAAATGATGAATTCTTAGTGATAATGAGGGTGTTCCGAGTACATGCATCAGGGAGATCTGCCTACTGAAGGACTTGAATCACAGGAACATTGTACGACTTTATGATGTCATCCATTCGGGTAAGCGCATCAGATTTCTTTTTCCCTTCGATTAGTCAGTAAGACGTCCATCAGTAAGCACCAAATGGGCTGCCCTCACCCCCCCCCCCCCCCCCCACCCCCTAGACTGCCTACACTCCCCCTGGCGCACAGGTTTCTCGAAGTACGGGACCCCGTGAGCCAGGGGAGTGAAGCCAGTTCAGGGGGTGGGGGTGAGGGCAGCCACTTGACGTTGCATCACAATGCCCCCCCCCCTTACCGGATGAGCGCCGTCAGTAATTATAGGTGAGTGCGTTTAGGTATGCAGTTGTATCTGGTATTCGAGTTTATTGATCGTGATCTTAAATCACTTTTGGATGGCTTACCTGGAAAACGGCTACCGGCGGAACACGCGAAGGTACAGTTCCCACTACTATTTCATGCATAATCCAGCATTTCGCGGCTCACCTGCTTGAAAAGATTTCGCAAAAGCCAGCTTATCCCTTTTAGGAGCACCATGCCACGAACTGTGACAGCTTGAGTCATTTACGAAATCGTTCACGCGCATTATAGCTTGATCTACCCGCAGTAATTGGGATCCTTGTAGGCAGCATGGAAAATTGGACCATTTACCTCTGTCGAGCCCAGTGTAAGGGGATATTTTAATATAATACATATAACAAAACAACCACATCTAGAACTGAATCTGTAAGCCTTAGTTGGCCCTTTTGAATCCTTTCATCTGAGTTTCGAAAGACTCGCTATGGGAACGTTTCTGCAAACTTGTGCAGGCGTTTCGGCAGCATTCCGTTCAGAGTTGTATTTTTTTATAGCTTACGATGCTCATTAATCAAGATACATAGGTTGAGTGGCGATTTCTTCCGAATATGCGCGTAGAACCACCATCTGATACTGGTATGCCTATCACTGGGCAAGTGAAGTCATTCGGCGGATATGATTTCGGTCCTAATTTCAGAGCTTCTTGTGGCAGCTACTCCAAGCACTTGCATATTGTCACACACGAAGAGTTTTACATCGAGATCTGAAACCTCAAAATCTTCTTGTCGATAATAGTGGTGTGATCAAATTGGCCGATTTCGGACTTGCCAGGTAAGTGCGGACTGTCTAAATATCAGAATGCCAGCGATTCCGTGATGGTCGCCCGACCCCATAGCTAAATTTAAAAAAAGACGTCATTTTCCTGAGTTATGAGTTTTCGCCGTCCCGATTATGTTATGCAGATTTCTTAGACCTATTTTCTCCCATGGGATGTTTATAATTTATGCGTTTGTGTTTTCATCCGTTTCCAAGACAAACTCCGACGGCGGGTCGCAGGCATCGCCAATCCGAATCATTAAAGGCACAACCCAGGCAGAGGTTTTTTATAACTCTTCTCTTCGGTCAGAAGTATAGAACCCTAGGGGACAATCACAAATGTGGCGTTCACGTGCACGGAATTCGACCGACAAGAACGCTTTGGGCTTGCAAAGTAAGCTGCTCGAGCTGCAGCGAACGAGCTCTCTTATCAGGCCGTTGTCTGGTGCTCTCTCATCTGATGCGCTCTCTCGCCCCATACTCTCCTCTTCGCGCTTAGTCTCTCGTTCCTTTAGCACAGCCAATTAGGAAGGTGAGTGAGCCCTCAACCTGAGCGTTTTCGACGGATTCTTTTCCTTTTTTCTTCACTGCCGGCCCACTTGGCACCGATACATTCACATTCGTGTGCAAGAGCCACACCAGTGCGATCCTGGGGCATGCCTTTAAAGGATGGTTGTTTTATAGACGACCCAGATGAAACTAGAGTGCCTCAAAAATATGCATTGCAGGGCTGTAGAGTATCAAATCTTTCAAGATTTTGTGCATACTTGAAAGTATCAGTAGATCATATCTGACCCTTTTACTACTGCAGTATGCAGCTTACTTTGGTTCAGCCATAGTTAGTGTCTTTACAGGAATTTTTCCATTCCCAGTCGTGTGTACACTCATGAGGTTGTCACGCTGTGGTACCGAGCACCCGAGGTGAGACGCATAATTTCAAGGCGGTTCAGGTCCATTTCATGCTTCACTCATGATAGCTCTGTTTTTTTGCAGATTTTATTGGGAGGTCGTTACTATTCGACGGCTATCGACGTATGGAGTCTAGGTTGTATATTCTCGGAGATGGTCTCTGGAAGTCCACTCTTCGCCGGTGACTCCGAGATTGATCAGCTGTTCCGCATATTCAAAATTCTTGGAACACCTACTCCAGAGGTCACATATCTTAATATTTTGAAATATGCTTTTGATAGGTTTGGTTTTTGTTTTTAGATATGGGCTGGCGTGGAAAAACTGCAAGACTACAAAAGGTCATTTCCGAGGTGGACTTATAATGAGAAGGCTCTCATTGCAGCAACATCCCCGATGGCAGAGGACGGTGTGGACCTGCTTAAAGTATGTAAATGCATTTATTTTGCTTAAGTTCTTCCTTGAAATGTGAAATGACTTATCAACTGGTCCACCCCCCCCCTCTTCGAAGTCCCTGTCACGATTTTCAAGATAATTTCCGGAATCTGTTTACTAAACCCAGGGTATTTATTGCAACGCACTTTTTGCAGGAAATGTTGCGCTACGCTCCCGAAACTCGAATCACAGCAAAATCGGCTCTGGGACATCGATATCTTCGCGACGTGGTTTTGCAGCCTCCTGAAGTCACACCATTGCTTCGACAATCAGCAACATTCTCTACCGCTTCACCTACAGGAGCAGCTGCAGAAACGCACCAACAGCACGACTTTTGACTGCACAACCAATCGTAAATATCCCAGGTAGTTTCCAAATGTACATTTGTGACGGCTCTAGTCGATTCCATTTCTTTTGTGGTGTGACAGAAGAGGAGGAATACAGTGAAAGTTACCAATCTTTATGTAAGTACCCGAAATTCAAAATGCTTGTCAAGTTCTATGTTTCTGTGAATTTCTTTGTGCATATCTTTGAAAAAGAGTTTAATTCCATTCATTTTAGTTTATTATGTATGGCAAATAAAAGGCTCATGCAGCTGCAGGTCGATGTACTGTTTCCTTACGGTGTGCCACGAAGGTATAGATATTTGCTTTTTAGACGAGGTTAAACTAATTTTTTCCTTCTTCACTTGCCCTAAGCAATTACCACTCTTGAAGATGCCCCTCTTCCTAAAGGAAGTGCTCAAAAAGTAATCGTATTAGGTTAAAAGTGATTCATTTGCTCAGATAGTAGTACGCTCTTTTAACTAGAAAGGGAATCTCGAATGTTAGAGAGTATGCCCATTCTCCTCCTTTATCGGCAGGTCATTAGGTCTTTTATTTATCAATACGCAGACAAGTCCATATCAAATACACAAAACCATACGCCTGACATAGTTTTCAATGTTTCTGGAAAAGTCTGTGAGCCTCATCATAACCCGTATTTTCTTTTATTTTTATCTCGATACATTTCGAAAAGATTTCCGCGATCAAATCAAAGGTGGTGCGCAAATATTCATATGAGTTGGCGCCAATAACGGTTTCCAAACATTGCTCTATTTTATGCCCATTACGTGTCGGGTCATATATTTCTCCATTCAGACACAAGGAAACTTCATGATATGATTCGAGTGAGTGAATCAGTTGAAAATGCAGCTTTGTGGTGAGCATTATTCAGGAATTTTCAACGCAAGCTCAAAAACGCATAATGTTACCTTGAACAGTTTCATGCATCGTACATAGCTATTTGACATGCAACTTCTTCGAGATTCTATTGGAAGGCTATTTAAATGTCCATTTGATCATTAGGGAGCATTAACTGCAGTAGCGGAGAATCCCGATCCCTGATCGAGGGAATCTGTGTAGAATTCAACGACCATCTGGTTCAAAGTCGACGTGAACACTTTGACTCCGGCCGCAATCTGTCCACTGAACCTAAACCAGTAAAGGTTTTGTTATAAATCACATAATTACAGAACATAATGCCACATCAATGCACAACTGAATGCGGATCGACCTGTCCAGAAGTGGGTTGTAAGGGGTTTCATCATAATCGTACACGCTGATGATGTCGCAACACTTCTCGGTGTCGATCTGTCCAAATGTCAGCAATATC